ACTATATGGTTAGACAGCAGATTTCTAAGGTTTTCAGGCCCAAGCACAATAACTTCGGTTTTGTCAGAGTTTAGAAGTAAGAAGTTGCAGGTCATCCAGGCCTTTATGTCTTTAAGTCATGCTTGAAGTTTGACCAGCTGATCTGATTCATTTGGCTTCATAGATAAATATAACTGAGTATCATCTGCATAGCAATGGAAATTTATGTTGTGCTTCCTGATAATATTGCCTAAAGGGAGCATGTATAAAGTGAAGAGAATTGGACCTAACACAGAGCCCTGTGGAACGCTGTGACTAACTTCAGTTTGTGTGGAACATTCGTCATTAACATGAACAAATTGAAATCTTTCTGATAAATAAGATTTGAACCAACTTAGCGCAGTTCCTTTAATCCCAATAACATGTTCAAGTCTCTGCAGTAAGATGCTGTGATCAATGGTGTCAAAAGCAGCACTGAGATCTAAGAGGACAAGTATGGAGACAAGTCCTTTGTCCGAGGCTAGGAGAAGATCGTTGGTGACTTTCACCAATGCGGTTTCTGTACTATGATGGACTCTAAATCCTGACTGAAAATCCTCAAACAAATCATTTTTGTGCAAGTGGTCACATAACTGCTTTGCAACAGCTTTTTCAAGGATTTTGGAAATAAATGGGAGATTGGATATTGGTCTATAATTAGCTAGGACACCTGGGTCAAGAGTAGGCTTTTTGAGTAGAGGTTTAATTACTGCAAGTTTAAAAGCCTGTGGAACATAGCCTGTTAATAGAGAGAGGTTAATCAGATCTAATATGGATGTGTTGATTAGGGGAAAGACGTCTTTGAGCAGCCCGGTTGGGATGGGGTCCAGGAGACATGTTGATGTTTTAGATGAAGCAATTGTTGAGGTCAACTGAGAGAGATCTATGGGACAGAAGTAGTCCAAGTATAAATGAGGTCTTACAGGTGTTTCTAAAGCCATTGTAGTACATGACACATCTGCGAGAGCTGTGGGAATGGTCTGACCGAAGAAACTCAGCTTTATCTGGAAGGAGTCCTCAGCTGACACAACATGAGCTATTCTGTGTTACTTTGGGTTATGAAATGTGTCAAATGTACAATTATCACAACACAGTGATGAACTGCTAAATACTGTATGTCTGAAAACACAGAGTCCCTGTTTCAAATGCAATCCATACACTGGCAGCGATCCAGCGGACATTTGACTCATCAAACTTTCTGCAGTGGCTGCAGTTTAACCACAGTACAACCATAAAACATTTTGCTGTGGTTTTTGGTGTCTAACATCCTCTTTAACTTTCTGTTTCCTGCCCTCTGATTGGCTGCAGTGTGCTTACCTGGAGGCCACTAGCTGTCAGGTGGAGAGCCGTTACCTGGGCATCCTGAGGAAGCTGCAGGAGACCAAATCTCTGGATGTGGTCCAGTAGGGGGCCATCCAGAAGATGATTGAGGATGCTCTGAAAATAGAGCTAAAGAGCATGGTCAAACTCAACGTGGCTAGGTACACACAATAAGTGGGAAATGTTTTAATCCCATAATAATCATTTCAAAAAAGAAAAATGTCTTAAAAATATTAACAAATAATCATCATCACTGATACAAGCGTTTCTTTCTATTTAAATCACATGATCATTTTCTTTTAACCCTGTAAAGCCTGACACATCAAAAAATAGCCAGAACATTTTAATTTTTCAGAACTGAGATGTTTATTAAACCTTTTAACGAAATCCAAAATATAATTCATGATTCAAAATTCAAGATTCACGATTTTTATTTGCCATATATGCATAGACAGACAGTCCAGGCATATAGGAATAGAGGTGCCATATTATTTAGATTATTTCTATTTCTTTATCACATTTGATACATGCGGCATTTTTGGTGATTTATTTTTTTTTTCTCAGAAACCTCATGTATCAAATATGATACAAATGGTTTTATCATCTCACTTCATGTGTATCGTTAAACAGAACAGGATGAAGAAACCAGAATAAAGTAACTAAACAAAGCTACATTTCCCTGAAATTGCACACAAGACAGATTTGACAGTGCACCGACCTGCGTCACTAAGCAGAGGCAGAGTACGAGCTCTGACTTGGACACAAATACACGTCTTTTCTTTGATAAATCAAAAATAACTGAATTTTCAGTAAAATAATTATATAAGTACACTGATTTACTCCTAGCCATACTGAACAGCTCGTCTGCCTCCTTAAGCCCATATTTACTCATTATAAACATCTATCCAGGTGTGCCAAACCTCTAGCCCAGTGTCACCTGGGACCAGCTCCAGCCCCCCAGAGACCCTCTACAGGACAAGTGGTTATAGCTGATGGATGGACTCATCTGTTATTATTTACATTTTGTCGTGTAGAAACTGTGTTGTGTTCTCAGGGGTCATGATGATTACGGCTTCAAAATCATCCCAGATTACGAGGTGGAGGACATGAGCGGATGGACACCAGTAAACCAGGTGTCCATCCGCTCCCACAACCTGCTGCACCAGGTCTGAGCTGGACTTATGTAGACTTGGACTGTTGAACACTCTTCTCGCTGTGCAGCCATCAAAGTAGAAACATGTTGCTGCCTGAGCTGCACATGTGGAATACACAATTAAATTCACACTTTTATGTACAACATTCTCATAAAGTGCTGACAGGGCTCTTTATAGTGACAATGCACATACAGTGTTAGAGTGAGGTCTCTGACAACAAGAGGTTGGGTTAGTGTTTTACTAATACAGTGACTTACCTAATATTTCTTCTGTTTTTATTAGACTTTCATTTATTTAGCATGACGCATTTCATCATTTCTAGGTTATTGTAAACTATAGGAACTAACGTTCTTGGCTGGATGACAGTTGGGAAAGATGTAAAGGATTCTACACATTTGATTTGATTTGATGATCCTTAATTTACGAATAAACACAAAGAACCGGGGTTTCTGGGGAGGGCTGCAGCTTTGGATTGTTTTCATTATTCATTAAGCTGCTAATCATTTTCTCAATCATTTGTCAAGACAAATTATATTTATGTAGCTCAATATCAAAAATTGAGCTCTACGCTTAATGTAGGTAATAAAACATAAAATGTCCTAAAAATCCTGAATAATCACAGTTCTTACCATCAGTGTGGTATCTTCAGAATAATCGTTTTTTTCTTACAACCAACAGTTGAAAAGACCAAGATATTCAGTTTATCATCCTGTAAGATGAAAAACAACAGAAGAGAATCTGAATCCAGACAAAATTTTGATCAGCTAGTCAGCTAATTGTTGGATAAAGTTGATTTGATGCCCACTGGTGGTTTGTCTAAAATATGTTGCTATTCTAGCGAAGCAGGCCAGCTGCTATTTCACTATCCCGTCAGATCAGCTACTGATCAATCGACTGATTCTGATCAACCACAGGTGGTTCCCCTCTGAAATATGTTAAAATGATTAGAACTTATCAGTGATGGAACAGTACCAGTATTCACAGTCAGGTCTTTGGTTTCTCTGCAGGAGGGGGTTGAGCACCCCCTGCTGGGTCGCTGGGCTCAGTACTTAGCTGGCAGATCGAATGATGACCTCTGTCCCTCACCGGAGCTCAAAGCTCTGCTGTGTGTCGGCGTCCCTCCAGAGTACCGGCAGAGAGTGTGGCACTGGGTGGTTCGAGCCAGAACCAGGATCACCAGAGAGTGCCACACCCGGGTCATCACAGTGTCGCCACATCTGGATGCAGGTTTCTGTAACAAAACATTACCACACAGTAAACCAGCTGCTGTTTCCAGCTGTGTGAGAAGAGCCGCACATGTCTGCATCCGGTGTCCAGACAGATCCAGCTGGACCTCCACCGCACCCTGACAAACAACCAGTACTTCTCCTCACCCTCCAGCCCCGCCCTTCAGCAGCTGCACCGAGTCCTTTTGGCCTTCTCTTGGCAGAACCCTGCTATTGGCTATTGCCAGGGGCTCAACAGGTATGCTCATACATAGTATTTGTACACAATTGTCCTATACATGTGAGGACTCTGACTTGTTCAGGCCCCCCACCCTGAAAGTCTCGACTTTTGTTCCTTAAATGTTTAACCTGCGTTGGCGACGTGGTTCTGTGTCATTACACAGATTCAGATTGTGTGGTGACTGAAAAAGTAATGTAATCATGTGACGTGTCATGTGACAACCTGTGTCTCGCAGGTTGGCGGCCATCGCTCTGCTGGTCCTCCAGAGTGAAGAAGATGCCTTTTGGTGCCTGGCGGCCGTGGTGGAATCCATCATGCCTAGGGACCATTTTTCTAAGAACCTGGTGGCATCTCAGGTCAGGAAACAAACTCAGCTGGTCACCTGTGGTTTAAGCCAGGTGTCCTGATGATGTATTACATTTCTCATCAGCCCAGTTCACAGAAAAACATTTAGATTTAGCTGAGTAAAGATTTGATTTGCAGATCTGTACGTTTTGATAATTTCCCTGAGAAAACTGAGTAATCTGGTATTAATAACAGTGAAGCAGAAACTAACTTCTAATTTAGGAGATCAAGTCAAGTCAAAGTGTTTATTGTCATCAAATCAAAATCAAATTTATTTGTATAGCGCCAAATCACAACAAAAGTCATCTCAGGACACTTTACAAAGTAAAGCCTAGACCTTACTGTCATATGCACAGTACGGAAACATGTTTCCCTGTACAATCAAATTCTTACTTTGCTGTCCACGTGAATGCCACACAATACAAATGAAATATAAAGTACATAAGCAACACAGAATCTAAGGCACTGCAAAGTAGCAAATGAAGAGACCTAATAAAATTATATGAATATAAGAGAATATATGCTACATGGGAGCTGTATGTGCAGTAATCAACCGTGAATGTGCAATTATGCACGTGCAAACTGAGAATGTAAACAGTACAGGTCGACAGTACATGACACATTTCCTGGTAATAAACTCCTGTCAGCTGTTTAGGAGTCTGATGGCAGAGGGAAAGAAAGAGTTTTTCAGTCTAGAGGTCCTACATTTCACACTTCTGAACCTCTGGCCAGAGGGTAAGGAGATAAACAGTCTATGCTGGGGGTGGGTGGGATCTTTGAGGATGGAGGCAGCTTTCCTACGCACCCTGCAGTGGTAAATGCTCTGCAGAGAGGGCAGTGGAGTCCTGGTGATCTTCTTCGCAGTCTTTACCACTCTCTGCAGGCGCTTGTGGTCCAC